GCCCAAGGCACCCAGAGTGAGAGTGGGAGACAAGTGTAAACTCATGCGGCCCAAGGAACCCGGAGTGGGAGACAAGTGTGGGAGACAAGTGTGGGAGACAATTGTGGGAGACAAGTGGGAGACAAGTGGGAGACAAGTGGGAGACAAGTGTAAATTAAGGTAGTTCAAGGAACCCAGAGTGGGAGACAAGAGTGGGAAACAAGTGTGGGAGACAAATGTGGGAGACAAGTGTAAACTCATGCGCCCCAAGACATCCAGAGTGGGAGACACGTGTGGCGGCCCAAGACACCCAGAGTGGGAGACAAGTGCGGGAGACAAGCGGGAGACAAGTGTAAACTCATGCGGCCCAAGGAAGCCAGAGTGGGAGACGTAGGTGAATCATAGGAACTATGAAAGCCGCGTCTTTTTGTGCCCGGCGAAGGCACGTAGCGTACAAGGTTGTTTTTAACTCCTGTTTTTAGAAACCAAACCAAAACAAAAAAAGCACTCAAACATGCAGTGTCAAACATGACATGTCAGAGTGAGCTTGCTTAATTTTATGTTTCACGGTGTTTTACCTATCAAGGGTAGAGGTGGGTGGGAGCACAAACAATTGTGCTACTCCTTTTTGTAGTTGCATGCGTAGACCTGCCAAACAGAAGGGCCAAGCCGCGATTGCTGCCCCACTGCACTTGGGATTACAATTTTCCAGACCTTCGTGTTGGACTTCATTTCCCTGCGGTTGCATTTTTGGTAGCATTCTCACATTTCTGGCCTTTTTGGTGTGGTTATTGCAACTTGATGCCACCAACTGAACACGATCTTCGGCTGTATACAATTACCCAGCTGATTCAATGGGTTTTGAGTGCCATTTTTGAGTTAGCCAAACGTTTTCGGGTTGCAGTGCCTCCAGTGCCACAAGCGGACGAAGTGCCGCCTTTTCACTGCCACGAACAGTGCAGGCATTGTACTTGCACCTGCATCCGAACAGATCCTACGCACCGGCGACACCTGTGCCGGGTCCATTTGGGTTTTTGATCCTCTGCTTGTTTGTTCGCGGGGGAGACAGCTCAAGCAATTATGCCTTGGAGATCAAGGGTTGGTGAGCCCCTTTGGGAGTTCCTTTTTTGAACAGTCAGTGCATGATGATTTTTCCAATGCGATGAGCTCACAAGACGAAGCTCCATACTTTGGTGACGATGGTCATTTGGACTTGTTGGGAGGAGGCCCTCTTGAAGAAGCCTTTGTTCTGGAAGAGGGGTCAGTTCAGGAATCCATATGTGGCGTTTCTGAAGAGCTGGACGTGCCTCCACATGGAGACAGGAAGCGCCCTTTGGAGAGCATGCCAAGCCAAAGTGGGGTTGGCATAAGTGATGGACTGTTTTTCAAAATGGTGAAGTTGCCGCGTACAGGGTTGCCCAAGCAGCCGTGGGAGTCTCGAGAGATGGCTTCAGTTTTTGGTAAGGCAAAGCCTCATTTGCCTATGCCCTGGCAGCTAGCCATGCCGTCTTTGGGGAAGTTTGAGAGCCTGCATGGGATTTCACCGGCCGTTGAACCACCAGAAAGGGCTGCCATGAGAACTCCATTCCACTACAAGCGCCTGCTGGCCATAAGGTTAGCACAAACTGACGACCAGCTGAGGGCTAAGACGCTCAGGCGTCTCAGAGACCTGATTTTGATGGCTCCGGCTCACACGCAATTGGGCAGAGCGCTGCTGGACTCATCAGGTCAGTTGACTGGTGAGGATAAGATTTCCAAAGTCTTTGCAGATGCTTTCAGAAGTAGGGCCACGTCCACTTTGGTGAAGAGGTCACTGGATTTTTACAAGATGGCCATGTGGATGCATCAACGTCTGAACCTGTTGCCCATGCAGTTGACAGAAGGTGTTGTGTATCAATACTTGTCTTGGCTTCGTGACGCAAGTGCAGCCCCGACCTTAGCTGATGCCACTGTCAAGTCCATATGGTTCATGCATGCTACAGCAGGTATCATTGGATTTTGCCCAAAGTCATTCACTTCTCGTATTTCTGGCGTTTGCAGGGACATGTTCATGCAAAAGAGGGTGCTGAAGCAGGCACCTCCATTTCCTGCCAGCTTTGTCAGAGCCTTGGAGGAGTATGCATTGACTTGCAAGGTTGACAGTGATTCCATCTTTACCAATTTCATGTTGTTTTGCATTTATGCAACCTGCCGAGTGGGAGACGCAACGAAAATCAAGGATGTTCAGTTTTCCAGGCACCAGGATGTTCATTTGGTTGAAGCGTCGACCTCAGAGGCAAAGAATACCAATACAATGGAACGTCGCAGAATGCTTTTGCCATTCACTGCAATTGGCTGGGGGCTGTATCCAAATCCCTGGTGCATCAAATGGGAGATGCAACTGCATTCCATGGAGCATGACACCATTATGCCAGCCTTTTCAGAAGTGTCAGGCAGGTTTTTGAGCCGGCGCCTGACGACCTCAGAGGCTAATCTGTGGCTGAAGGAGATCCTGGTTCGTACACCACCGGAAGCTGCACGATATAGCACACGTTGATGCAAAGCAACAGTCGCAACATGGGCTGGCAAATTTGGTGGTTTTTCAATGGATGATAGAAGGATGCTGACCCACCATTTGGATGCCAGCTCCGCGATGCCCCTCACCTATTCAAGGGACAATTTGACAGCGTTGCGCTCTCGAATTTTCAGAATGCTCACTGCCATACGAAACTTTGAGTTCAATCCAGATGATTCCAATGCAACACGCATCTACTGGGAGAACCGAGACATTTGCGACGAACCGGAGGAACCCAGACCCTGGCAGGAAGACTGGGAAGGTTCTGAGACCGACGTTTCAGGTGACGAACAGTTTTATGAAGCTGGACACTTCTTGCATGACCATCAAGTTGTTGCAGAAGACGTTTCTGGTGAAAAATTGTTGCATAAGGAATCCATGGTTGTTCACATGAAAAGAGATGAAGACACGTTGTGGTGTGGACGCAGACTGTCTGCCAACTACAGGGCCTGGTGGCAAGGCGACCCGAACCTCGCTCAGCTGCTAGTGTGCCAACAGTGCGACCGAGCCCAGCCTTGAAGAAAGACTGCAATGTAGTCACGGGGTGGGGGCAGGAAAATCATCTTTTGTCCTTTCTTTTACAACTATATTTCAATAAACATCGTGATGTATATATAGATACATACAGGTGTGCATCAGTTTTTGTGGTAACCTTGAGGCGGCCTTCAAAGTCGCAATCCATGCATGCCACATCATGTAATTTTAAAGATTGTCATATTGAGGCGGTGAATCATCGCAATCCAATTGACAACCTTCCAACCAAGTGTGCAATCTTGAGGCGGCACCATAGCCGTAATCCAAGTAGCGCATTTCGTGAGGCATCATCATGTTTGTCATATGGTGGCGGTGAATCATCGCAATCCAATTGGCATCCAAGACGTTGCACACATCCCAAGTTTAGTACGTCAATCCTGAGCACTTTCCGTTCAAAGCTCAGAGGGCGTGCCATTGGGAACTTGAAACATCAGTGCAACACTTGACAAACACTAGGACTGGAAACAGCCATGACCAACTCACGGGATGTCTTTCTTTTTAAAACACACTTTAGTGATTTCAGTTCAACTGGCTGCGCATCACAAACCCCCAAATTATAACATAACTTTCTTTTGAATCTGACACTTCTTGCTGCCATGGTGTCACTGGAATCGAAGCCTGCTTGGGAAGCGAGAGCCGAAGCCATAGGAGTCCCTGAGGGATTCATTGCTGAACTCCAACAGGCGGGATTGGATACCTTCGGACAATGGGCATTTTGCTGTGCGGGAGATCCAAGCAACACAGATGACACACCAGTCAAAGAAGCTGTCAATCAAATGATAGGGCGAGATGTGACACCACAGGAAATGGTCTTATGCCGACGGCTTTACTTTGAGAGCAGGACTTACGCAATTTCAGACATGAATGCCAGAATCGACCGTAGTGCTGATGACCGTCCTAGAGCCATGCCCTTAGCAGAGCGCATGGCGCGCATTGAGAAGCAGAAAGCAGCACTGGTAGGAGTCACATGGACCGCTGAGCTTGAACCTGCCCACAAGTTAGTCGACAAGATCGTTTCAATGCAAGAGGATGGATCGCTAGTTTTCATTCCACCACAGAAATGCATCAGCCGCATTCAGGAGATCCAGCAGGAAAAGCATGAGGTGGCTCTGACCTTTGATTCCATCAAGATGGGTAAACGTGCAGGTGTGACACCACTGGGGATATCAACTTGAGGAACGCTTGGACCAGACGCAATCTGGCCTTCGACCAAGCTGGATTGGCAAGTTTCGTCGTGCTGGAGAAATGGACCACAAAACTGATGTTGGCCAAGCTGAAAGAGCCCCCAGCCGGGTTCAGATATATATCCACTCAACAGATATGCGAGTGTGACAAAGAGATGTGGATGCAGCTTTCACAACAAAGCAGGGGCATCTTGCATTCTTTGGATCCACTGGACTCACTGATTGAGCAATTGACGACCTCACCTGAAGTCCTATGCTTCCTCTCGCCATTGCCAGGCGCAAAGAGGGAACAAGAGACACCTCAAGCGTCGGATACAAAGAAGCCAAAACCCAACAATGAAGGCCGTCCCAGTGCACCCAAGCCAGCGGGAGCGGCACCATCAGCAGCCAACTGGAGGAAAGTACCTGCCGGCTGCCAAAGAAAGGGAACAAATGGATGGCGTTGTTTGAAGTTTCAATGGGGCATGTGCAACAAGCAGAAGGAGCCCAAGTGCAAGTTTGGAGTGCACAAATGCTTCAAATGTGGGGCCAAAAGGCCATACAACCAATGCGAACACTGACTTGGAGAATAGCTAAGGAAGCCCATAACAGAGCGACGCCAAGCGGCTTTTGTGGAATTCTTTTCAGGGTCAGGCAGTTTCAGCCAAGCCATGCGAAAGGAGGGCTTCCAAGTTTTTCCAGTGGATCACAATGCAAATCGTTTTACACCAAAGGTGCCAACATTTAGCATGGACTTAAGCAACTCTGATGAAGTCAAGGTGGCTGTCCAACTCCTATGTTTCACAAAACCTGTGGCAGTCCATTTTGGACTAATGTGCGGCACATGTTCCAGAGCAAGAGAAAGGTCCCTTGCGTATCATCTCAGGCAACAAGGCGCGCCTGAACCTCAACCTTTGCGGGATGCCTCCAACTTATTTGGCAAGCCAGGTTTGACACCCTTCGATCAAACTAAGGTTGACAAGGCCAACATCATTTACCAGAATGCCATCCTTTTATTGCATGTTTGTTTTGAACTGCAGTGCATAGTGTCAATTGAAAATCCCGCTAGAAGTTGGCTCTGGATATTACTGGCCCAGCTGGTGAAACAACATCATGATGCAGCGTTTGTTTCCTGGTATTTTTCTTTGACTGCAACTATGTTTGACGCTTGCATGCATGGTTTAACACGGGATAAAAGCACCACTTTTCTGGGAACAGCAGGTGTTTTTGACGCACTAGCAGTTAGATGCGATGGGTCACACCCACATCAACCATGGTCAGCCTCCAAGACTGACCATACTGGATGGGTTTTTGATACAGCAGCAGAAGCAGAATACCCACGCCTGCTGAGTCGGCGTTTAGCGGCATGCATCTTGCGACACACTCAGCAAGACCAACTGCACCTGAAGCTCAACACTTTGCGCTTGACAAGCCTGCAGGTGCAGGGACGCCAACACAAATCCATGAACCAAATGATTGCAGATTTTGTTGACTTTTTCTGGGCTCAAGCCGGTTACAAGCCCAAGCAGAAACGAGGTGGTTGACAATGAGGCTGCAGATATCCCTCATCATGAAGGTCATGTTAAGGTTGGGGTTTTCATGGAACCAAAGCAGCATATACAACAAGCTTTGACACTGCAACACCCTATGGATGCATCAGTGTCCATCCCGGACATGTTGAAGAAGGCAGTCTTTAAGATGTTGACTACAGAGCCGCACGTGCTGGCCAAAGAGCGGTTGGAAATGCTGAAACTTTACAAATCTAGAGCCCTTCAGTTGCAGCAGGAAGAGAGTGAGCTGCACGCCTCGTTGCCCAAGCATGTGCAGCAGGTGGTGGAAGGCAAAAGGTTACTCCTCCTGGAGGAGACACTTAATGCAACAGCCTTCCCCGACATGCAGGTGATGACCGATTTCAAAGCAGGAGTTGACCTTGTAGGGGAAGAACCCTTTTCACACTTGTTTCTGGAGAAACTGCAGCCAGCTACTTTAACTGTAGAGCAATTAGAAGTCATGGCCAGCTTCAACCGCAGGATAGCAATGTCAAGGCCACCTACAGACCAAGAACGTGAGCATGCAGATCGTTTGATAGCCCTCTCGCAAGAGGAAGTGGATGAGCACTTTTTGGCAGGGCCTTTCTTTACCGAGGAGGAGGTCACACAACATCTGGGGACTGACAACTGGACCCTTACCAAAAGGTTCCTACGACTGCAAGGGGAAGACTTGAAAGAAAGAGTGATAGATGACTACAAGCGTAGCATGGTGAACGCTGCTTTTGCCTCCAGGTCATACCTAGAACTTCAGGACGTTGACGTGCTGGCAGCCTTGGTCACCTACGTCATGCACCTCATTGCTGGAGGGCCGCAGATATGTATCAACTTGCAGGATGGTACCCAACTTTGTGGGAGCTTGTCAGCTGCAGTGCTTTGACCTCTCAAAAGCTTACAAACAGATAGCAGTAAGCCAAGGGAGCCTCCAGCATGCGGTGCTTGGGGCTAGAGATGCTTCGGGCAAGTGGCACATGTACACCAGCCAGTCTCTTCCCTTTGGAGCGATTTCTTCAGTATATGCATTCAATAAGTCAGCAAGGGCACTTCAACATTTGCTGCTGGAAGACTTCTCGGTGGTGACCACCAACTACTTTGACGATTTTCCAACGCTGGAGCTGAGATCGGCAGGTGACATCACTACCGGAGTGGTCTCCCAATTCTTTCAACTCATTGGATGGCGCCACGCAGTCACTGGGAAAAAGGCCAAACCGAACCTTTTAGCAGCACTTTTGGTGCGTTGGGAGTCAACTATGCCTTGGCCTCACTGCATGAGGGTAGATTTTCGGTTGGAAATAAACCTGACCGCTTGGCAAGGATTGGGCGTATGGTATCCCAAGTCTCAGAGGACGGACGAGTTGCCCAGACGGTGGCGGCATCAATACATGGGCTTTTGAATTTTGCATCGTGGTTCACCTTGGGCAAGGCATTGCAAACTTCTGCACATGGTTTTTCAATGTTAGCGTCGGGAACGGCACTGGACAAGAGATCAATCAGAGCTTTGTGCGAGCACACCTTCATTGTTTTGGAAACTTTGGAACCAAGAGAAGTTGCCTTACCTTTGCAATCGGTGCCTGTGGTGATATATACGGATGGAGCTTTCGAAGGAACAAATGCGACTTGGGGGGCCATCGTGATAGACCCCGTCTCAAAAACGAGCCTGTGTTTTGCTGGTACAGTCCCTGAGTTCCTCTTAGCGGCCTGGAAGAACCTTGTTGGCGAACAACTGATATGCCAGATTGAAATGTATGCAGTGGTATGTGTACGCTGGAAAGTCAGGCATCTTCTTCACAAGCGCCGCCTCTTGCTGTTTATCGACAATGAGCCCTGCAGATTTTCCCTCATAAAGGGAAGGTCGCCTTCAGACCCCCTCTTCAGGATGTCACATGCTTGTGCTTGCATGGAGGCGTCACTGCCTTGTTTTGTATGGTACGAAAGGATAGCCTCTTACTGCAACCCAGCTGACTTACCGTCCAGGGCAAGAATCGATGAAGCTTGTAAGAGATGGGGATTAACCTTTGGAGGCGACATAGCCTTACCTGCAGAGTTGTTGACAGCCTTGGTGGACGGGGTGCCCTTTCCACGACTTGCAAAGGTCAACGGAGACCTTGAATGTGTCATAAAGCCACAGGGGAGAAAGGAGGATGACACGGATGTGTGACACGAAAAGCTGAGATCTCAAAAGAGATAATCCAGCCAGTGTCAATGCTGAGGTCTCCGAAAGACAATCCAGCCAAAGGACATCCCAAAAGAAACGCCTCTTGAAATCTCCCCCGAC